GGGTTCTCGTGACCGTTTCGAGCTCGGAACGCTGACCTAGAATCCTATCGAAATCGCTTTTATCTACGTTTCTAGTATTTTCTAACTTGCGCTTGACACAATAGTCCTAAATAGTCTCTTCTTCTTGTTCTTCTTCTTCTTCTGTTGCGGCATCTCTCGTGAGAAGATATAAATTCGTGTTTCTAAATACGAACAGTCGAATTTCATTCACGTGGACTCGTCGTGGAATAAATGAATTATTTGTTTGTTGGATCGATTCGTGAATAAACTGCAGATTTTTATGCTTTAAATTCATATTTTAGTAAATTTCTAATTTCTTAATTTTAGCTATTTCTTTAGTAAGAAGTTCATTTTATCAGTGAAGTGATTAATTGAAAAAGGTCGAAAAAGTTACAGATAAAAATATTCACAAGTTAACGATAAGCGCAGCTATTTGACAAGTACACCAGAATGTTTATGCAAAAATCTATATGATTGAAATTACGTTGCGTTTGATTCTATTTCATCTGATGAATTATCACAATGAGATATTTTTGAAATGTACAACATCTTCGTGACACGAAGAAAGAAATTTTTTTAACATAATATTTCCCTTGAAACAGTACTGTACTACTTTTTCGATTTCCTCCGATTTTCATTTTAAGAATGAAATGAAGCTTCTCAAAAAAAATCTTGGCAGCGAGACAGTCAGAATTGCAAAGAGCTAATTAAGTTGCAAATTTGCTCATATTTTCAGTACAATTTTATAATAAATAAATTTTATAATAAATAAATAAATTTATAATACAATTTTATAATAATAAATAAATAAATACTTAAATTAAGTACAATTTTATGATAAATACTTAAGTTAGAAATTTGTCCATATTTTTAATAGTACAATTTTATAATAAATACTTAAGTTAAGTACAGTTTTATAATAAATAAATAAATTTATAATACAATTTTATAATAAATAAATAAATTTATAATATAATTTTATAATAATAAATAAATAAATAAATCCTGAAGTACAATTTTATGATAAATTTCAGTTAGAAATTTGCCCATATCTTTAATAGTACAATTTTATAATAAATACTTTATGTAGGTGGATTGTGTCGTATATTTCTATGTACCTTATGTACCTTATGTGCAATTTTAGGAACTGTGACTGGTACTTACAATTAGTGTAACTATAAAGTGTTTCACTTAAATTGATTTATTCGGATATTTGCTTGCTATGGATAGTTAAAATATTCGAAACGAAAATTAAAATGATTTTAAGAAGTACATAATTTAATTATTTTTAAAACAATGAAATCATATATTTTTTAATATATATTTAATATTCTCTATGTTGAAAATTATATGTATGTAAAAATTGTTGGTTTAGGAGATAGTTTAATTAACTTGTAAGATTTTTTAGAACTAATACTTTTGTATTTGTTTCACTTATAAAATTGCACAGGCATATAATTCATGCAGCACATAATTGTGAATTTCAAATACCGAAACACTTAAAAATTCTACTTTTTGTTTAATAAATTAATTTATTTTTAGTAAATACACGTGCAAAAAGTTTTATGTTTTTATTAACGTTATCGAGGAAATGATCAACTGTGGTATTGAAAAGGAAGAGTTGAAACACAAGTTCATTCAATATCATTATACATATTTATGTTATTCTAACAAGCTGTTGTCGTCCAATCATCAATAATATCATCATTACCCAATCACCATTGATAATATACGTTGTACATCATCATTACATAATACTAAAAATTTCAATGAAAAGTGTGTCATTGAGCATATTAATCTTTTGCATTATAATATCATGTACATAACTTACAGTGGAAGAATTCTAACAATAAGAAATAAAAACGTTTCTGGTAAACTTGTGTTTTGAGATAAACTTTAATACTGATATTTTACAAAACAATGTTGAGTAAAGTTTATTGTTGAAGAAGAATGAAATGACAATAAAATATATTTATTTGAATAAAAATAATTTATATTAATTTTCATTTGAATAAAAAATAACAATAAAGGAACGATTTTGGATATTTTCTTTTGTTATTGGATTTTCTCTTGACAGAAACTATTGAAAGAAGATAATATAATTTTATATTTTAAATACACATAAAAATTTACATCTCTAAAATTTTATAAATTGCAAGAAGTTTCTTTAACTTCATCTTTCTAAATACATACTGATTAAATACTGCAGTTTCAATTTAAATTTATAAATGACTTTTTTATTTATAAATATATTTTAATAGAGTCTAATTATTTTTGATAATTTTTCGCAGATTCCCTTCTGATTGAGAACTTCTGCCTCAATTAATTCATTAATTTTTTTCGATGGAGTATAATTAATGTTGTTATATATAAATTATAAATAGATTTAGTATTACTCGAAATGTAGAATTTTTCAATATTTTTTCTTTTGGAAAATATAAAATTCCTACTATATCTATACAGTATGTCATACAAGATAAGAAATCGAATGAATAAATAAGATTCTTCTCAAGTGTTATTTCAACTTGAGTGTTATAAAGAATTTTAAATTGAATATTCAAACAAGATATACAATCATATCCAAGTTGTGAATTCACTGTGAAAAATAAACAAATTTATTCAAGTACTTTCACAAATCTAGCATAAAACTATAAAATTAAATATTGGAAATAAATGATTTGTATTTACAATTATTTTTTGATATGATAATGAAAATTAGTAAGAAATTATAATTAAATTCTATTTTAAGAAATTATAATTATGTACAATAAAAATTATAGATTACTTAATTTTTTATATCAATTTTATGACGACAATTTTTATGAATGTGCAAATTTTTTCGAAGAAATTATGGAATGGGAAATACTTCATAAGCTAATAACAAATCAAGGATATTGCTTTATTCGTATTTCTCATTTTTGCTCCCAAGTTTATGATTAAATTCAGCGAAACATTCGTGAAAAAATAACTTTCTTGGAATTTATTTCATCCTGAAATTATCTGATTGTAAATCCATTATCAATTACGCAGAAATGACTAATGGTAGTGTATATTAGTCAGTGGAAGAAATATAGGACTTTACAAGATAGATTTCAAAATATATAACTTGCTTCTCAATCATATTTTATATAGCTGATCGTGACATTTAATTTACTGCAAATTGATATATATAATTTATTAATACATTTAATTTACTGTAAATTGATATATATAAAATGATATGAAACATTTCAATTTTTTCAAATTCCTAAATTCTTGATATTTTTTTTTTCATAGTTGCAATGTATATCAGTAAAACCAAATAACATGAGTTAGCCAGACAGAAATTTGAAATATTTATTTAATAATTACAACATTTAATTATTTAGAATATTATAGAATATATAGAATAGTCAGAATATATTATAAAATATTAATGAAATGTTAATCAAGTATTTTCATAATTGAATAAAAAAGATTTATGAAAAGAATCAGAAAGGTTTCACATTGAGAAGAATAGAGTAACAAAATACAGAGATATGGTATAACATAATTCTATTTACCAAAATAATTACTCTTTTTGTAATTTTATTAGAAAAAAAAGTAAAATTTAGTAGCAAAATTTTCTTTGTTACAGAATTATACTTTACAAGATCCTCCTTGATCTTGACTCCTTCAATTTTTAAATATATGATTTAATAAATTAAATTATAGTTGAGTATACTTTGTACCTACAATACTAAAGTCCTAATGTATTAAAGAATTAAAATCCAAAAACTCTATATTTAGTTGTTGGAACATTAAAATATATATATAGAATTAACTAAAATTCTAAACTTCTTAATGAAGATTGGTGCATATGTAGAGTATTGTACTGTACAACATAATTAAATATAACTCAACATTTTTATAAGTCTAGAATAATAAAACTAAATGGTAATGTTATTACATTTTTGAAATTACAGCTAGTTGGAATTTTATTTGGAAAAAAGATATTTCATGTGCATATAATAAATGTAGATATGTATACAAAGATATTGGAATAATATCTAAACTTTGAAGTATAAATATATTTTATTAACTTACTAATATGTGAATTATATTATAAATTCATATAAATGTACTAAAAGTTATATAAATAAAATCTACTAAGAGTACAAAATTATAAATTATTAATATAAAAATAATTTTAACATTTTTTAAAAAATAAACTATCACACCGGTAGAATTATAGAATGCTATGTTGCCATTGTATTGAGCTCCTTTTTTTCTTCTAATGTTGTGAAGATTATGAAATGTAACGTTTTTTAACAGATTAAGAACAAAATATAGTTTCATTGTAAGGAAATAAAATAAAAAAATAGTAATTATGACATAACTTAACAGAAATCGAGTGCTATTATTTGTTGGATTCCATGTAATGGAATTAACATGCTTATAATATTAAAGAGTTTATTTCTTGTTACAATCGTGGTCGTGTACGAGATCTTTTGAGGTAAAGAATAGAATACTGTTATAGAATAACTTAGAATGCTCTTATAGAATTGCTCTATGCTTCTACTAAGCATGTCCTTATATGTATTTGATTATCATCGTTTCCAAGTGAAAGGGGAAGGAGCATAGATGACCAACTACTGGATCTTGGCCTTATAATTAATTATTCACAGTTCACTTTTATGTGGACTGTTACTAACTCATTGATTCAATATTGTCCTATCAAGTTAGTCATTCATATTTTCACAATGTAAAAATTAGCTCTTATTCTTATGTTAAAATACACGTGAATTGAATTAATAAAATGAAACAAATATCTTTAGTACTTTCTCATTTCTATAATAAGCTTACTTTTTTTAATTCTGGATTTATATCATCTGTCAATTGAGGGATTCATATGTATGTATTTAAGGTGCATAGAAACATTAACATCTAGTATTCTAAAATATAATACAAACGTACTAAAATATTTCTCCACATTCTCCGGCACATCTATTCTAATATTGCATTCTTCATTTTTGTTTCAGCCAAGTACATACCGCGGACGTAAGGCGGCACGAAATGAGTTCACCAGAAATTAAATTCATTTGTAACCCACTTGGAAAATCCTGGGACTGTGTAAACTTGTGCTAGCTATCGTTTCAACTTTCTCAATCTCTGTCCCATTTTTAAGGGGGAACTGCTGCGCTTCTTCTTCTATAAACTTGTATAGTCGCAAACGAACGAATCGTTAGAAGGAAGAAACGTTGAAAGAAAAAGAGAAATACATGTATATATAGATCTATTTCTCATTAAAGAAAGAAAAAGAAAAAAAAAAAAAATAGCAAGGATCGTATCAAGACCAAAGATAAAAACCGAAGAGAGGAAAGAAAAAGAGAGAAAGAAGATAATAATCAAAGAAGTGGTGCTCTTCGTCATTTGTAAAAAGCTTCCAGAAAGAAAAGAGAAAGGAACATTGAAAAGACAGAGTAAAGCGTGTCGTATAATATAAAACGTTCTGAATTTAATTCATCCGAACGGGGATTTAATTAATTTTTTATTTTTTCGAACGAAAGAAGAAGAAAGTAGAAAAGGAGAAAACGTATCAAAATGAGTACAATAAGTAGCGCTCAGAATACGTCCGTGAAGGATTTTTATAGGGACAGATGCGTTTTCGTGACCGGTGTTACTGGATTTATGGGTAAAGTCCTCGTCGAGAAGTTGCTCAGATCTTGTCCAGGGTTGAAAACCATTTACGTTCTTATAAGAAATAAAAAAGGCCAAGACGCCCATCAAAGGTTGCGAGCACTGTTGAATGGGCCGGTGTGTTTATTTTTTTCTCTACTTGAAGTTTATTTTTATTATTTCGAAACTAGAGAAAACTGGAGTTTTATCTTTAATATTTCTTCTAATTTTTCTTTAATATTATTAATTTAATAATTAATTTGTAAATATATAATTAATTTAACATATTTATATTATATTACATAAATATATTTATAAATATATAATTAATTTAATATTATTAATATTAAGAGTTTATTTGAACTTCATTGTTCGTTTCAATAAAAATGCAAAGAACTTCTCGAACAATGCGCTGTTTCAGTTTATTTATTTTCCAATGAACAAAAACATTAATTTATTGAAATATTTTCAGCTGTTTGACAAGTTACGCCGGGACGCACCGAATGAACTTCAGAAGGTAATCGCCGTGCCTGGAGACATCACAGAACACGAACTGGGTATTTCAGAATCCGATCAGAATATTCTAATAAGAAACGTGTCGGTCGTCTTTCATTCCGCCGCCACCGTGAAGTTTGACGAAGCACTCAAGATTTCGGTCACTATTAACATGATCGGTACTAAACAACTCTTAAACTTATGCCATCGTATGCAAAATTTAGAGGTAAAGAATGATGTACGCTGTAATATATTGTAGCAGGCAACAGTCGTGTAACAAAGTTTTTTTTTTCTTTTTTTCTTGAAGTCTTTTGAAGAACTGTAACAAAATCTATGTCTCAAGTTCTTTTTAATCTATTCATATCCTTATACATATAGATTAGCTCTCATTCGTTCTTCACTTTTCCAACTAAATTTACCTCTTGGTGTCAAATTGGCACAATCTAAACTAATAAAAATTAACATTTTTTTTATTAACAATAAATACATTGAATTTCTATTCAATTGTGTTTCTATTAAATCTTAATTAGATATAAATTTTTATTCAGTTGTTTATTTCTATATATAGATGTTCAATTTCATATTGTGATCTTCTCCACATTGTGATTTTCCATATTGTGATCATCTGTTTTTGAATTTCCATTTGTTACATCTATGCATTTTTGAAAAGATGATGCATTAAATGCATAATTATGCTATAATAATTTGTACTGACAAGTACTTTGAAAGCAAATGTTATCAAAAATGTCAAAATTGTGTGTTATATATTAGAAAAACAGATGTCACAGATCCTATCTTTGTACCTACATTTGCTTGCTGCAAACAAATATAATATTTTATAAGAGAAACAAAGGACCAATGAGGGTTAATATTAAGTCAAGTATTAAATCTACAATGTTTAATCTAGAAAATGTAACAATTAGAAATTCATGCCACTTTTTCAGCAAAAGGGAGGTTAATCTTTGTATTTTTATTTAAAGGCATTGATCCATGTATCAACAGCATACTGCAATTGTGACCGTACAGATATTGCTGAACAAATCTATCCTCTCATAGCAGAACCAGAGGAAATTTTCGCTTTGACGAAGGTGATGGACGATAAGATGATTGATGATATAACACCAATTTTAATTGGCAAACGACCGAATACTTATACATTTACTAAAGCCTTGGCAGAAAGGATGTTGGAAACAGAATCCGACTATTTGCCAATAGCAATTGTGAGACCTACTATAGTTCTATCATCGTATAAAGAACCGGTTGCAGGATGGTTAGATAATTGGAATGGACCGACTGGAATCATTGCCGCTGCTGGCAAAGGTTTCTTCAGGTAAGCTTACCTAGTTGGCAATATAAAGAAGTATGGGAGGTATAACCAAAGAAGATATGATACTACATAAAAAAGTAAATCAAACATAAATTTTCATTTTCGAGAAAATCAAGTTTGAAAATTCATCAACTCTACTTGAATTTAGCTAATTCTGTATTGACCAGGAATAAATAAGCAGAAATTATTCCATCTATGAAAATAAGTCAAAAACGTAGAATTCAATGTAAAAATTTATCAAGTACACGTTTATTAAACCAATTTTTAACTAAACATATTCAAATTCCGTTTTCTTGAATGAGATTAGAAAATTTTATTCATTTTTCATTATTATTTTTGCAGGTAGAATAATCTCTTATCGATTGATCACTTCTGTGCAATTTAGAATTAGCGAGATTCAAGTGTATTCAATAAATTTTCAAATTTGATTTTTTCGAAAGTGACGTCTTGTATATTCAATCTAATGTACAAGAAATGTATTAATGAAATAAAGCTATAATTAATTCGTCTTGTCCTGTGTTACTATGGTAATTAAATGATTGATTGATTGATTTGGTTGTTAATAAATAAATATTTACCATTGCAGATCTATGCTGTGTCGTGATGATATGATAGCAGACTTAGTGCCAGTCGATATAGTGATCAACTTGATGATAGTTGCAGCCTGGAAAACTGCAACAAATCGCACGAAGACAATTCCCATATACAACTGTTGCACAGGTCAACAGAATCCGATAACCTGGAAGAAGTTCGTAGATTTAACGTTCAAGTACAGTCGATTGCACCCATACAACGATGTGATTTGGTATCCGGGTGGCAATTGCCATACCTCCACTATAATAAATAGAATATGCATGCTCCTCCAGCACATTGTACCGGCGCACATTTTAGACTTCACTCGTCGACTGAAGGGCAAAACAGCCAATATGGTGATATTACAGTCGAAGCTCGAAAAAGCTACCAAATACTTGGAATACTTCACTATGCAACAATGGAGTTTCAGAGATGACAATGTCCGAGAATTAAACGAACAGCTTAGTCCCGAGGATCGACAGATATTTGCATTCGACGTTAGACAAATTGATTGGAGTTTATACTTGGAACACTACATTTTAGGAATTCGACATTTCCTTCTCAAGGAGAACCCGGACACACTGCCAGCTGCTCGTGTACATCTTAGGAAGTAAGTAATCTTCTGATGAGAAAAGTAAGAATGTAAAAACTAGAAAATACAGGGATACAGTGTAATCTATTTTACTGTATACGTATGTTTAAATATGCTTAATGTACTTTAATTTTTCCAATATCTTAATATCAGAAACTTTTTCTTTGTGAAATTGATTATTATCATGATCCAAAAATATCCAATATAATATAAATATATGATAACCATAGAAATATATCATATATCATGTTTTGTTTTTCATGTAAGAATAATTTTAATACCCAATACCCTTATTAACTAATTGCAAAAGTACAAATCATCATATTTTAAATACTGCCAAAAGGCAGTATATCTTTAGATCGAAATAGATTGTTCCTCTTTTAAACTATGTTACATTAAAATTAGAATTGTATTTATTGTGTTTTTTCTCTTATAATGTTCATATTTAGTCTGGCAAATACCTAGAAAATTATCCTCCTGTTGTAACAAAAAATGATATATTATTATAATATTAACTCATCTGATTGTATTTCAGATTATACTGGATTCACAAAGCTGTGCAATTCGGGGTGCTATTAGTACTGCTGCGTTTTCTATTGTTGCGAAGTACCGTGACCCAAAACGCATGTTATTCACTAGTGTCCTTGGTGTTACGCATGTGCCGTATAATTGTTTGACGGCTCAGAACGCTGGCTGAGGATGACGAAAAGCGTTATAAGAAACAACAGCTAATTGTAAAGAAGCATAATCTAATGGTGCGAGTTGTTCTCCGACTTCGTTGCTCGTTGTTTCCAACGAGCAATTGCTATGTTCAAACATCCCATCGGTTGGCCTTTTCGATGTTTCTATTTGTTCATAACTAAATTAGCGTTTGCTAGAGATATTCAATTTCCACAGAGAGCGTCAGAGTTACGAAACTGGTTAAAAAAAAAAAAAAAAAAAAAAAAAAAGAAAAAATTAGAACTCTTAGACTTTTGTTCGATTTCAAATATAGTTCTATCAAATTATTCGTGTATTTTAAGACTAAAAGAATTAAAGGGACGAATTTTTATTCATGATATATTTTATGGTTAAAATATTCGAGAAAGTGAGAAAAGATTTTCTTTAATAAGAGAATAGCAAGTAATTGCTTGGGGAACAAATGAAGATAACAGGAAGCGAAAAGAGAATGAAGCAAAGAAATTACACGAGAGTATAACGTGTGAAACACGTAGCTAGGGAGTCGTAAAAGTACAATTACAAACATCAACGAAAAAGGCAATTTCATTCTATCTCTATACCTTCTTCCCAAATAGATCTTTATCGTATATAAGAAATTAAATCTATGCGATGTTGCAGAATCATATAAATAAATATCTTTAATCACAATCATTAATGTTTCTCAGTATTATAGAAAGCTACATGAAATTGATTAATTCACATTGATCAGAATGAGAGAAGAATATCAATAAACTTCTCAATAAACTCTCCAAAAAAACTTGAAGAAAAAAAAAACTAGAAAGATTATTTCCATATAAAACAATTTCAATAAAATCGTGTCTAAAGAATGATGTTCAACGATGTTCGCCAACACCATGGAGGAATCGTAAAAAGAAACTAAGGGAAACAAAAGTACCAGACTCTATTTCCTCAAGAATGAAAATTCCAATGGCCACGGAGACCGCGGCGAAACTTCAAACCCAAGATTACATCGAATTTACAACATCCGATCATCTTCACTCGGGTACGGCGGTTTCAAAATTGAAAACACCTCCGAGCGTCGCGCCAGCAAATCCACACCCTCCCCCAACGGTATAATTTGTTCGCCATCGATCCAACTACGATTCAATATATATGTGTATATACATAATATACTTGGAAATCTAAACACGGCGTGACGAGCGATAGGAAGAGCGCTGCTTGGCGGACAGATGATTCGATCGAGTGTCCAATATTCAAAGCAGTTGGCAAGCACTTGCGCATCTAATCCCGGTATCGGGTGGCGGTTCAAGTAGGTGGAATCCAGTCGTCCTCGTTGTCGTTGTTGTCGTCATCGTCGTCGTCGTCGCCGCCGCCGTCGTCCTCGAGGACGGCGGAAAATCGCATCGTCAACAAGCGGCGTAGCGGAACGCCGGTAAGCTCGATTTATCGGTTTTGGATAACCGTTGGTGACGTTTACCGCGCTGACTGTAAATCACGTCGGCGCAAGACTGACGCGATTCGTGGCCACGTCGGGAGGATCCACCCGCTGCAAATTCGACCAACGGATCAAAGGAATCCACGATTTCACCCTCCACTGTGTACCAGTTTCTCTCCCTCCGTCATTGCTTCTGTGTCTCCCTATTGCTCTCGCGGTTTTCATTTCCTCGCCGAAGAGTGGAATTTGAACTGTGAGCGTTGCATCGGGAATACGAATGTCAGTATTTAAGTAAAAGAAAAATAATAATAATAAAAATAAAATAACATAAATCGTATAGTATATTTATGACAGCCCGAACTGTCCAAACCATTACATTTTACATATTGATATTTTGTTCGTTAACATTTTACTCAATAACAACGGCGTCCAAAACGATGAAGATTTTCACGTGCAAGGCAGCCAAAAGTTTGAAGATTAAAGACCCGTTTTAAGATTTTCAAACGATTTTAAGCTTCGAATTATGTAGGTACGAATTTGTCGTCAAATATACACTGCAAATTCGAAGTGATTTGAATCAAGCCTGTTTCTCAGCTCTGTCGTCTGTGTCAACTGTCAGATCAAACTGTACGAGTGTACACTCGAAGCGATTATGAGGGAAATCCCAGAAAGAAATTGTGAGAATATAAATATCAAACTAGTCCACGTATAAAGAACAGAAACATGTTTCCTTCAATCGAGAAATCTCCGAAGCACGCTGATGCTTACAGGAAATCCCGCTTTAACCCTTCGTTGCTATCACGTCGATATACGATCCACGGTTACGTTTGATTCATTAGATTGATATCGAACGCTTGAGCGAGTTACGGTTGGCGTGCAAGTGTTTGGCATTCGGACGTGGCTGAGGGCGCCAGGTTTAATCCTGTCACGTTCGTGGACACCTCGTAAAATAGTGAATCATGATGCTGCGCCACGACGATTCTTCGAACACGGATTCAATCGGGGAGAAATGTTTTTGTTTTATGGACTACGGAGGGCGAATTGATTTCGTTTGACGAACTCAACGATGGAACACTTCATGTCTCTTCTGGTCTTTTTTTTTTTTTTTTGTTTCGTTTCTTTGCCTTTTTGTTTTTTATTTTTTGTTTACTGTTTTGCGGTTAAATTCAACATATCATGTCACACGTCGTTTCTTTCGTCGTTTTACGCGTACGTAAAGTACTGCGTAGAGTTCGATCTTTAAACAGTCTACGATAAATCGGTCTGTTTCCTAAAATTTCACAAATTCGTGAGGGATTAATTCTAAACTATTTTAATCTGCATCTTTTATTCTACGCGACAAGAATATTTATTACCCGAGGTGTGGAACAGAAACTAAAATCAAGCAACGTCAGTTAATTAAAATTGTATTCGACTGAACGTTTATTTTCACAAAGTTAACGAGGGAATTTAAAAGAAACGAAGAGCAGTCCATTTGTAGGTTCTTTCAGGAGATTTTATATCTCGTAAGATGATCTTTTTCCAACCTTTCGCTCTCTTCCCTTGTCTTTCCCATTTTTTTTTTTTCAAGCTTCATTGGATAAGCGAGGACGTTAGGTGGTAAGATTAAAAGGAATGGAAGATACAATCGCGCGTTAAATATTTCCTGAACGAACCCGAAATCTATCCAGGCGAAGTGGCTCATGTGTACACGAACTTGAGAACGTTGGAAAGCCGCAAAACGGTCTCATCAATCTCACGTGTGACTTCTGACGTGCCGTTTCTCCTTTTTCCTCATTTCGAATATTCACAGTTTTTCCTCTCGGTATATGTATATTGTCAGAGACGACGAATTTTTCCATTTTCTATAAATATGCTCAGTTTCTCTGATACTTGGAGTTGATCGTTTGGAATCGAGAAGAATTTCTCTTTCTAAATAATAAATGAGAGATTGAAATAATTAGAATTCTGAGAGAAAATAAAAATTGAAATTCTTGAATTTCCTTTTAAATAATTCAAAAAATAAATAAGAATAATTAAGAAACATTCGGGGAAAAAATAACTTAATAATGAAAATTCTCATACCAAATTTCTCTCTCTAATTTTCTTTCGAACGTTTCATTTTTAGAATCTTTTACAATTTCTTTCTTTACCTTTCGAGAAATTTTATATATCTTCGTCTTTAAAATTCTTTATTCGAGAAATCCAGGCTTTACTTAAGGAAGCAATACGTTGCAAATAAATCGTAGCTGAAGGGGGTTTAAATATTTATGCGTTGCATTTATATGTCCGGCTTTGTATATCGTTTACGTATATCTACTTACCGTGTTTCGTATACCCATTGGAAAGCTGAAAGGCAAAATCCAAATGGTCCAAATCCCCAGGACCATTTCTAAGGTGAATGGTCGTTTCATATTCCCCGCCTTACAAAAAATACGATGCCCCAAAGAGCCGCATGGGACAGCAATAAAACAGAAAGGAAACACGAAACTTCCCAAACGAGAACACGTGTTACTATAAAAGTAGAAGAAAGTGAATTTCTCTATGGAAAAATGCGAGCGAAAAGGTACAAGTCAAATTTTGGCCGGAATAACGTGAGCCGTCAGTTTTCAAAAAGCGATGCATATACGTGCAAAACCTTACATTTGTACCACGGGCTCTTTTATAACCTTTTATTATGACGTGCCTTGTAATAGTTTCTCAGTTTTAAGTATATTTAAGTGAGACAAAATAGGCAAAACAAATAATAAATTTTTTTACTTCTCAATAATTTCTATCCAGTGATATACCGACGAGTTCAAAAAGAAAGCGACGAATTATTGTATATGTGGTTTGAAAATACGTACTATATGGTTTGGTCACTCGTTATGGTCCGCAATTAGTTGCCAGCGCAAGTGATTAAAGGTACAAATACCAGAAATATGTACTATATGTACTTTTGTATTGCTCAACTGGAGAAAATAGCAATGTTAAAAGATCAGTCGACTTACTTAACCATGACCATCAATTGAAATTCACAACTTGAATAATTGACATTTCCAGCAACAATGCTCCACAAATTCCAAAATTACACGGACAAGACTTTGTCACTTGAAATTCATTGTACTGTACACGAACCTTTTCCAAATTCCACGTCCGTTCGTATAAATTTCGCATAAATGTTCTTGACGTGTCTCCATCGCTGAACTGAAACAGAAAAAGAAAAAAAGAGGAAAGAAAATTGTCATCCCGCCGGCACGGAAATTTTTCCACCGATACCCGATAACAAACAACAAGCGCATCGAGCCGAGCCGTGTACCAAACTCGTTCAAACTGTCTCGTGCGCCAGTTTTCAGTGTTGAGGGCTCGTTTTAAATTATACCGGGCCGAATGTTTACGCCTGGGTGTTGCAGAACGCGCAAAAACAGCCGTGAAAATTCGTTACGCTTAAATTCCCGGGGGAATCGTCTGGCCGCAGCACCTGTTAAGAGCGTTTTCAAAGTGGGCCAGGGGAAAAAAAAAATTGGCCGGCCGACCGGGGAACCGGAAACCGTGCCAGCGCCACAGTGTGATTCGCGCTGGACGAAAAATTTCACCGAACTGCCGCGGCAGCGGGGAGCGGGGAGCGGGGAAGAAGAAAACGCAGAACTGGAGGAAATACGTGGGAAAATGGCAGCAAAGCGAACAGACCGCCTGACCAAAGAAATCAGTTCGAATGAACTTCACCCTCGTTAATTTGCCACGGGGTGCCCGACCTATTTTCGGGCACGCCTACATTTTTTCGTCAAAAAATTGCGTCTACCGTGCAACGCTCCGAGAGCGGAACATTGAAC